AGCTGAGCCTCCAGCAGCTGCGCTGGGGCGGGAGTGGGGAGTGGATGGGGAGAAGGGGCGCAGGAAGTGAAAATGAAGGAGTCGTTGGAGGCACAGGCGGAGAGCAGAGCGTTGGACCTGGATGGGATGTGGTGCAATCACGGGAGAGAACCACAAATCCTTCAAGGAAGACACAGGGCATGGGCAGTGGGGGCCATGTCCAGTGACCCCTATAAGGAGAGAAGTTGGGTGTAGCACACACACCCCCAGCGGGGCTTAGCTCTTAGGTCCAATTTTCTTTCTTTAAGTTTAAGGGCTCCTGAAGCCCACTCAGCCTGTATTCCTTAATCTAAGAGAGGAATTATCATGGCTTCCTGAATGCTTACTGGCTAAGTACCTGAACTTGACAGGTGTAACCACCCCCATCTTACAGGTGAGAAAACTGAGGCTTCAAGGAACTATTCATGGAGGGGCTATCAGTGGCCCACGGGTGTTTTGGGGAAGGGGTCAGAGCCAGGAAAACCAGGGCCTCACTGGACCTTTCCCGCCCCTCCACCTTCTAGCTTATTCTTTGTTGGACAAAGCCTTGCACTCCTACTCTGTAGGCCAGTGGGTTCCCCGTGTCGCTGACCTGACTCCTGCCCCAGCTCCAGCCTCACTCGTCAGTGGTCTCCAAGCAGGGAGCACCTGGCTGACCCGTGCTGCAAAGAGGCTGCTTTGGTGGCCAAGTGGCCCGCATTGTCACTGCCCTCAAAGGGACTGCGAAGGGCCGAAGGGCCGGCCGGGTGGCAAGGACCTTCTGTGAGGGGCAGCCGGGTTAGAGGGGGGAGGGTCGGGCAGGATAAAGGCCCAGCACGTGCGCCGGGGCTCCGCAGGACCAACAGACCGGGCGGGCGGGGCCATCCAGGAGTCATCCGCCCCACCCCCCAGGGCTTCACGCAGGGAGCCCAAATATTGGGAACAAAAGCGGGAAAAGAAGAGTGAGAGCAGGAGGGAGGGAGGGAGCAAGGGAGGGAGCGAGGAAGCAGAAATTAGGGGGTCTCAGATGAAAAAAAAAAAAAAGAAAGTAGCTTTAGGGGGAATGTGCTGTGGAGTGTGAAATTGCAGCCCGTGGTGCTCCATATTGTACCAGAAGCTCTTCCAAAAAAAAAAAAAAACCATCCTCCAACGTGACCAGAGGGCTAGGCAGGGGGAGGGGCAGGGAAAGAACGGGGAGAAGGGGGAGGGGAAGGGCCGGGCGCGTGAGCGCGCGGGGGGGGGGGTCTGGGTGCTGCGCCAGCGGCCTGGGACCCTAGCGCCCAGGGTGTGCGGGAGTGCAAGGGCCCAGGGGCGCCAGGCGTCCTCGGAAGAGTTTGATTGTCAGAACTTTGTCGCTTCTTTTTTTGGGTGGCGAGGATGGCCGCAGGTGGGACTAGCTGGAAGAAGAGCCGGGCTGCGGGGCGGCCGCTGGGCGCAGGCCTCCTGCGTCGCTACTGCTCCGCCCTTCGGACTAGTTCTTCCCTCTCTATTCTGAACAGCTTCTCCCTCCCCCCCCACCCCCGAACTTTAATGCGTTTAATTTGGTCCGCGCTGTGGGGAGCATTTCCTGGGGAGATACATTTAATTTCGGAATTTCTAATCCCCTCCCTGGGAGCCCCGGCCTCAGCTCCCCTCGCGGCTCCCCGGGAGGTGCGGGCAGGCGGGCGGGCCCGGGCCGCAAAGGCGGGGCCGGCCCGGGAGCCTTGCACTGGTCCAGTTGTCCGCACGAACCACTCGAGGCCTCAGCTCAGGTGCTGGCGCCAGAGCCTCAGGTCAGGGCCCTACAGGCAGAGGCGAGGCAGCCACGCCAGACAGCTCTGGGCCGGGGACCTGGGAACCTGTAAGACAGCAGAGGGTCGCCCAGGGCACGATGGAGGAGTGGGAAGCGATTGGCGTCTATACCGACACTTCTGCCCAGTCTGCCCAGGAGCGCAGTTGGGGGCTCGGAAAAGCAAGTTAATACTCTTGGAGTGGAGCGCCTGTGCGTAGGTAAAGCTCCAGGTAGTGTTGGGGGGTGGCTTGTCGCGGACCACCGCCTCCCTGACACCTACACCCAGGCCAGGCGAGTGGGGTGCGCCCCGGGTCTGGGCACCAGGGAGAGGCAAGGGTGGGGGCTGCCGGGCAAACCTGGCAGAGAAGAGAGACGAGCTGGCGAAGAAGCCGTGATCCACGAGGAAGATTTATTGGGTAGATCAGATGCACAGAGGCGGCTAATGAAGCAAATCCCGAGATGGGTATCAGAGCAACTCCCCAAAAGTTTATTTGCCTTTAAATTTCCGCAGGGAGGCGGGTACCTTGTTTGAAGTGTAAATGCCCCTAGGTTGGGGGGTGGAAAGGCCGCTTTGAAAACACCAGCCAGAAAAAAAGATTCATTTAAAGGCAGCCGGGGAGAGCAACCAAGCCTGACAGGTCCGAGCCCAGGGTTGTATTTGGGGTTTGGTTGTTTTTCTTTCTCTTTTTCTCTTTTCCCCTTTCCTCTTCCCCTTTTTCCCCTTTCTGACCCCCCTCCCCCCACTCCACTAGAGAAAAAGAGCTGGAAGGGGAGAGGCAGAGGGAAAGGCCAGCTCTTCCTCCGGGACTGTCCCCACGGGTGGGGGGAGATTTGCTCTTTGACTTTCTGGCTGTGTGTGTGTTTGGGGGGGGGGTCTTCAGCTAAGGAGGGAGCTGCCCCCTGGGCAGGGGGAGCTGGGACCGGGGAGCAGGGCCAAGCAGGTAGATGGATCCTCATCCCTCAGGGTGCACTTGAGGAATAGCTGAGAGTGCAAGTTCCAGTCCACTTTGTGCACTTGAACAAAATGGGGAAAAACATTGCCCAGGAAGCGAACAGGCTTGATGCTTGTGGGACCTAAGACTGCATCTGGTTCGTTCTAGAGAAATCGGGCGGGGGGCACCCACAATCTTGTACTTAGACTACTTGAGGTTTCTGCAGGCTTAACTTCAGCAGGACCAACACTTGGAGACCTATGGCAAGGGCCCCTTCAGTTCTCAGCTGCCCTGGACAAGGACCCTTCCTCAGCCACCCCCTCCCATTCCTCAGCACTCATCTCCTGGAAGGAAACCCAACTCTGCACGCGTTATAGGCACCTGAGCGACGTTCCCAAGCCTGAGAGATCTTCCCCTCAGGCTGCAGGAACTTCTCCCCTGACCTCCCCGCGCGCCCCACACAAAGTTAGTGCGTGTTCGTGGGGTTGCCAGGCCAAAGCAAACCCGGGAGCGCCATCTGCAGGCCTTGAGAGAAAAAACCTGACCTTCGGTGCAGGACCCCGCGTCTTTAGCCCGGGGCCCCAGGGAACAGACCGGGCGCATTAGGAAAGTGGGGGTCGGGGCTGACAGGGCCGTCAGGGAAGAGGGCTATGCCTCCCTCGCGAGTTACGTCTGCAGGTAGGTTAAACGCCTTTATGCTCAAGAAGATGCAGGAGGGAGGGCAAATTCCAGGATCCCGGCAGAACTGAGATACTTAGAACCACACTGGGCTGACTGTGGGCCCGAACTCCACCCAAGGGATAAGGGTTCCCTGGAAACCCGGGCACAAAATGCCAAGAACGCATCACGCCAAAATGGACTGAGTCGGAACGACGCAGTGCCAGATCCCATCATCTTCCCAAGTTCCAGCCAAAGGACAGGGGCACGAGTGCGCCGCGCTGTCCAGGGCTGCCGATGGACGGGAGGAACCTCAGGTCCGGGCGACTAGAGCGTCGCGCAGATTTCTCCGGTCCGCCCTTTCGCAGACCCGGGAAAGCAGGGGGAGGGAGCGATGGAGGGAGAGTGAGTTAAAACATCAGCTGAAGTGCCAAGATGATTTATGAGACGAGGGAAAATATTTCATAAAGATCTCCTGGATATTCTGTACTTAACCAGTTAGGAGACAAAGGGCTTCTCCTGCCTGGTGCGTGCGAGCGGCCGCAGCGAACGCCGGCGAGGGCTGCGGAGGCTGGGCCAGCGGCTCCCGGCTGAAGTGGGGCCAGGCCGGCGCGCTGCGTCTCCTGCGCTCGCTCCGGATCCGCCGAGCTGGCGGCGGGCGGCGCTCAGCCGCCTTCTCAGGCTGCGCTTCTCCCCAGCCGGGGAGAGCGAGCCTTGGTCTCCCACATTTTCTGTGGTCAGCGACCTGCCGCGCCACTCTGTCCCTCTCCCCCATCCCAGGTACCCCTGAGAGTTCCAGGAGCCAAGTCTCCGTGGCTTTCCCGCCGGCTGTAGTGTCCCACCGAGGCAGGTGGGTCCTCGCCGCCGGAGGTCTCCAGCTAGGTTCTAAACCAAGCGTTCTGGACTGTCCAGATCCGAAAGGGCAAAGGGGACAGGAGAGGCCCCGCCCGAGAGGCGGCCGCCAGCGGACGGGGACGGACAATCTGCTGAGTACCTAGCTCCAGAATGAGAAATGGGGGTGGTGCGTGGGTGGCGAGGCACCTCTGCACGGGAGGGAAAGGCGAAAGGGAAGGGACAGGCGAGAGGTAGAAAGAGCCGGGAAGGAACGGGAGCTCAGGATAATGGGATTAGGACTAGGTCCGGGCCATGCAGTCTGCGGTCACTGGCCGGTGGATGGCACGGCTGGGCGAGGTGAGACTCAGCCCTGTTCCCCAGCGCAGCAGCGCGCTCCGCGGCCCTGCGTCGTTGCCTGAATATTCATTAGATTGGCCGCTCGCTCTTTATCCTTATCTAACGTTTATCTTATCAGCGAGTTTCATTTCTCGGTGTAGTTTTAATCCTGGGCTCTCGTTCCTCCTCCCGCTGGCCCGCTCCCCTCCCTCCTTCTTCCTTTGCCCACTGCTCGCTCCCTCCCTCCCGTTATCCCCCACTCCTCCTCCCCGGCCCTCCCCTCGCCGGCACCGGAGTGACAGGCGCGGGGCCCTCCTCGCCGAAGCTCGGGGCTCCGGCGCTGGCGAATCACAGAGTGGTGGAATCTATTGCCTTTGTCTGACAAGTCATCCATCTCCCGGCGCGGGAGGGGGAGGGGGTCTGGAGGGGGCTTTGCAGCTTTTAGAGAGACACACACCGGGAGCCCGGGCTCCAGTCTCCGGCCGTGTCTTCTCGCAGCCGCAACCCACCTGGGGCCAGCCCGCAGCTGCCGGCGCTGCTCGTCTCCCTCCCTCCTGTCCGGCTTCGCGGCCGCGGCAGCTTACGCCAGCCTTTTCCGGGGGCGGGGGCCCGGTTCGCGCGCTCCCCTCGCGCGGGCGCCCGCTTGGACATCCCGGGGATTGCTACTTCTCTGCCAACTTCGCCAACTCGCCGCACTTGGAGCGGCCCCGCTCCCCTCGCAGCGCCTTCGGGCCGCCCCCCTCCCCGCGCCCTCTCTCCGACCGCCGGCTCTCGGATGACCGGGTTCCGAGGGAGCTGAGCGAGTCGCCCGCCCCGCCTGGCTTCAGCCCCCCGGCCGCAGCAGCAGCCGCTCGCGCGAGCCATGCGTCCCCCGGCCCCCCTGGCCCGGCCCACCGCCCCGGAGCCGCTCTGCTGACCGCCCAGCCCCGACGCCCCGACGGTGGGAAGTTGCGGCCACTGCGGTGGCCAGCCCCGGCGGGGAGCGCAGCGCGGCTCCCCCCCCCAACTCTCCGCCCCCGCGCGCCCCGCAGCAGCCCGGCGCCCGCTCACTCTCCCTCCCCCACCGTCCCTCCCTTTTCTCCTCAAGTCCTGAAGTTGAGTTTGCGAGGCGACACGGCGGCGGCGGCCGCGCTGCTCCCGCTCCTCTGCCTCCCCATGGATATGCACTGCAAAGCAGACCCCTTCTCCGCGATGCACCGTGAGTACCTGGCGCCCGGCTCCTGTCCCGATTAGGGGCTCTTGGGTCCTATCCCGTCCACTCCCAGCAGGGCCCTGCATCCCCCTTCCTGTCCCCGAGTGTTTGGGCCCCGTCTCAGAGGCCAAGCTGGCTTCTCCACCTTTCCATCTTCCTCTATCCTTTTTCGCTGGGTGTTTCAGATGCCTCCAGCTTCTCTCCCTGCTTCTGCCTTCTGCCACCCATGTCCCATCGCTCTGCTGCCAGCCTCCCTTCCTGGTGCTCATCCCCCTGCCTTATTCCTTCCACCTGCACAGCCTTGGGTCCCAGATTCCAGGCACCCTGCTCTCTGGTCAGCCGGTTGGCACTGGGCTGGGGCACTAGTTAGCAGGCAGTTTGGAGGGTGTTGAATTTTCTGTTCTCCTTTTATTTGCGTTCTTCTTGTCTACCTCTCTACCTTTCTGCAACTTGAGACTGGTGGATGTCTGGCAGATTTCGAGTAGGGGCAACCTTAATGTCAGGACAATTGGACACTAAGAAGCAGATGGGGGTGGAATGGGCCCCCTTCTGACCCTCAGCTCCCACCGGCTCTGGGTCCTTCTAGTCCAGCCTAGGATCTTGTGGGCTGGTTTGAAATATTTCCTTCTCTTGCCTTTCCTTTTATGTTGCAATGGGAGTCCGAGGCTGGCCAAACTGTGGTGGTCGTCATTTCTGGTTCCTGGCCTCAGCCCCAGAGATGCTCTAAAAACAAAGAGCGGTGCTCAGGAGAAACTCAAGTCCGCGAGAAGGGCTCAGTGCAGCGTCCCCAGCCCAGCGTCCCCCACCCCCCCGCCGGGTCCAGTGTGGTTCTGCTCCTGGTGGGGGAACAGGCCGCAGCCACCTGGCCAAGGGGTCAGCGAAGAGCAGAAAAATGAGAGAGTAGGAACAAAAGGAAGGCAAATGCTGACGCTAAGGCGAAAGGGAAGAAAAGTCAAAACAAGGGAGAGGAAGTCACAAAATGAAAATGGAAAGGATATGGCAGATGAACGAAAAAGAACAGAAATAGGAAACTAGGGAAGGGGGTTTTGGAATATTGGAATTATTTAATGCATGTCTTTAGCACAGAAAACTAATACGATTTTGGGGGGAAAAATCTGTCTCTTGTTCTCTAAAGATAAACAAGATTCTAAATAGAAAATCCCTCCTTTAAAAATAAAATTTAAAAATCCCTCCTTATCTGTAGATTAAGGATAATTTGGAACTTCGCACAAGGAAACTTTTTAGACCTTGCTTGGGTCTGTTCCTAGGACCAGAGAAACCACAAGGGAGAGCTAGATTTTTTTTCCCCCAGAAATGTTTAGCATTACAGGGAGAGCTTTTTTGTTTGTTTGTTTGTTTTTAAGCACTCCCGGGATGAAGTATATTTTCTTAAATAATTTCCAATCACAGGTTACCCTAGCCAGGGGGTTTCAGGCCGGTGCGGATCTCCTCCAACCAGGGCCGGGAAGCCTCGGTCGTTTTTTGAAGTCCACACTCCACCTTCCCCTGCGCCTGCCTGCTTGGCTGTCTCATAGCCGGCTGCGACAGCTCTCCTCTGAGGCCGGTTCTGTCAGGGATCGGCCAGGGATCTACTGAGTCCCTGGCGCCCTTGGGGGTCCTCTTAGAAATCCAGGGGGCAGAAGGGCCAGCAGGAGCAAGCAGGTCGGAGCAAGGCAGCAGGCTGCGGCGTGGGCTGGTGAGGATCCGCAGCCCCAGCCCGCTCGCTCCGGCGGCAGTGGCTCTTGCGGGGCCTGAATCCGCGGCGCGGTTCCCAGCTGACCCCCTGCTCTGGACTCCTGCAGTGTCCCCTTCCCATCCCCACCCCTTAGATTGGGGCCGAGGGGCTGGGCCGGAGCCCGAGAGGGTTGAATTATTCATCTTTAATCTACCCGCAGCTGCCGCCTTTTCATACCGGTAACGCGAGTTCTCCCAGGGTCTAAATTATTGATGGTTGGGGTTTGGGTGGAGGGGAGGCGTGGGGAGTGGGACTAGAGATGGGGTGATCTAGAGAGGGGTGCTGGTAAAAAAAAAAAAAAAAAGGATGATTCCGGCCTTCCCGGGGCCGCAGGGCTGGAAGCCCCTCCCCTGGAGTTTCGCCCAAGGTTGTTCTGGGTCCCTTTGGAAGGGGATGGAGACAAATGGGGGTGAGCGCAGACGTGCCCGCTTTCTCCGAAACTCGGTTGCAGCTGGCAGGGCCGGGGTGCCTGCTGCCCGGTGTGGCCACATTCCGCCGCTAGAAGTCTCCGCGCTTGGCTCGCAAAGGGACTGCGGCTGCCGGTTGATGGATCGGAGTGCAGGATTTTAGGCGGCTGCAGGCCAGGGGACTGGGTCGCCTGCAGCACCCTTGGTCCTGGCCCTCCTAGTTGGCAGCCTGCGCTTGAGCTCCTCCGCAGATCCAGTGCCCTTCTCTTGGCTTAGAGCACAGGCGCTTTTACAGCTCAGTTTCCTGGGCAGCTGCCGGGAGTCCAAGAGGTCAGAGGTCCAAGTGGGCTTGGGCATAGAACACCCCAGGAGTCCTCAACCCTTCAGGGCAGCCTGCGCTGCGCGACCCCGGCGAGACAGAGCGGTCCCGAGACCATCGCATCACCGCTCACCGGCAGGGTGAGCCCAGGCAGCCTGCAGTCTCCGGGTGTTACCGGGAGCTGCCCGGCTCGCTGCTGCCTGCCTGTCTCCAAGCGCAAGAGATCAAGGCCCCTGCCTCTCCCGCCTTCCTTTCTCCACCTGTTTCCTTTTTTTACTTTAGACACTAGGGAGCTGAGGGGGAAATGGGATCCCTAATATATAAAAATAATAGACATAAAGGAATAATAATAATAACCTTGATCAAAAACCAAACTGAACCAAAAGACACAGAGAAAGAGGTAGGGAAATTTTTATCAAAAATCAGTACAATGAAAGAGGAAGCAGAGGTGTGGGTGTGCATATGTGTGGGTCAGCCACTAAGACCCTGGCTGTGCTCAGAGACACAGCCAAGCCTCAGCGCCCCCCAATCATCTGCCTCCAACCCTTTCGGGTTCCAATGCCCCCATGCTTGCGGCGCAGGCGGGATCCCGCTTCGCGCCAGTTCTGTCCTTTCGGGCCATCCCTTACCACAGTGCCTAAATTCTTTCCCGCTGGCATCAATTACCCTGCGCTGTTTTTCTTAATCTTCATCCCTCTTTCTCTGTACCCTGGCTTCTTCATTCCCGTCCACACTGCTTCCCTCCGGTACGCTGGTGCGAATGTTGCGTCCTTTCCCAGGCGTGCACGCTGCCCGGTTTCCACTGCCCAACGGTCCCGATTCCCATTCCCCCAATGCTTGGCGGGCCGCGAGTTCAGGAGCATGTCTGTCCCGCCCTGCCTGCTCCGCTGGCACGTCCCGGCCCTCGGGCCTTGACTAATGGCCGGTCCCTGCTGTGTGTGGGGTGTTGTGTTTTTTCTTGTCTCTCCCCAGCAGGGCACGGGGGTGTGAACCAGCTCGGGGGGGTGTTTGTGAACGGCCGGCCCCTACCAGACGTGGTGAGGCAGCGCATCGTGGAGCTGGCCCACCAGGGTGTGAGGCCCTGTGACATCTCCCGGCAGCTGCGGGTCAGCCACGGCTGTGTCAGCAAAATCCTGGGCAGGTGAGGGCCTCGAGCTACTCCGGGAGACGCTCCGCCTCCTTCCCCCCGCCAGCCCAGGGTCTCTGGCCCGAGGACTTGGCCGCGTAGCGAGTTAGGGAGATATCCCCAGCCCTGAGGGGTCCAGGAAGCTGCTCCTTTGGAAGACGGTGCTCAAGGGGTGGCCGAGGGCCCAACTGAGGTATCGAGTGGTCCTGTTGCTGGCCGGCTCCGGAGAGCGCACCGGCTTCCGAAAGAGAGGGACGCCCGCCCTCCGTAGCCCAGTTATGGGGAGAGGGGAGGGTCGAAAAGATGGGGGTGGGACTGCCGAAATGGCCTGTGAGGAGAAAAAGCAGCCAGCGGAAGCCAAAAAGGCCCTGGTTTCCCCGGGGGCGTGTGCACTCAAGGCAAAGGGCTGGAGGTGGTGCCGAAGCTCCGCAACGCGGGCCTCCGCTCTTCCCCAGTGGGAAGCAGCACTATCACCTCCCGGTTCGAACTGTGGGTAGCTGGGGTGGCCCTCTCCCGTAGGGCGCATCCTCCTTGTGTTCCCTCGCTACCAGCCAAGCCCTCTGGAGGTAGGCTCAACCACACCGGCCGTTTTCCTGTGCACGGCTGCCTCTGGCGGAAAAGCGGTTGCGCGCCGGGGCGCCTGCAGCCCCCGCCCCCTGCCCCAGCTTCTGCCTGCCTCTCGCTGATCCCACCGGCCTTTCCGGGGCAGGTATTACGAGACTGGCAGCATCAAACCCGGCGTAATTGGCGGCTCCAAGCCCAAAGTGGCAACGCCCAAAGTGGTGGACAAGATCGCTGAATACAAGCGGCAGAACCCCACCATGTTCGCCTGGGAGATCCGGGACCGGCTCCTCGCTGAGGGCATCTGCGACAACGACACGGTACCCAGCGTCTCCTCCATCAACAGGTGAGACGCCCTCGGGGCCTGCAGGGTGGGACTCCAGCTCCTGCATGTGGGGTGGCTCTGGCATCGGATCTCCATCCTTCCTCCTTGCTCCCAGCCCTAAGTCCTCTGGGCAAGACAGAAGGAATACAAGAGAGGCAGAAAAAGAGAGTAGGAGACAGAGGGACAGACAGACAGGGCTGTTTCCCTGCCAGGCTACTCCCGCTGGTGTCCTGGAAATGAATCCAAGTGTTTGTGGTAATTAAGACTCCATGATCTAGAGACAATCACAGCCTGCAGCCAAGGCCTTTAAAATGCCCTGGGTCTATTCAGGACCACTGAACAGACTGCCCTTTCTAAAGGCAGGCTCCTTTCCCCCTGGGGGACAGCCTGCTGTCCTGACTCCTCTGTCCTCCCAGCCCGCTGCTCCCACAAAGATTGTCTCCCAGGAGCCAGCCTTACTAGCCAGCTCTATACAAATTTTCCTCCTACAAGCACTTGTGTGCAGGCCTGGGGACCAAATGCCAGCTGCCAGTTAGAGATTGGCAGAGGGCAGAGGAGGTGGATGAGGATTAGGATGCCATGAAGGGCAGGGGAACCCTGGACCTTGAGAATGAACTCTGGGAGATGCCCCCAACCTCCTCTCTTGAGGCTGCTTAAGTCTTTCTTGGTTGCGGGACAGGTTTGGGCTCCTGCAGTCCACAGGCTGGAATTAGTTTGACATGTAGGAGAATTGGGTCTTTTACTCCCCAAACCACCCCTAGTGTGCGCTGGGAGAACCCAGCTGTACACTCCATGCATGTACAGTCCAGCAAGTGTGCCTACGCGTGGCAGCCACCAAACAGGCAGTCATGACTAGGAACCCAGGCAGGCATCACATTGCATAGCCAGCCAGCCTTTTAAATCACGTGTTGGTCAGAAACAGGTCCCTCACAGCCCCCAGTTGAGGAGAGGGCGGACGGTTTCATGTTCTTGTTATGCTTTGTACTCTGCCTGGGCTCATTATCAAGACAGCTAATAAATCAGATGCTATTTTTTTTTTCTGAATCTGGCATTACGTATGAAGGGCTTTTTAAAAAAATATTTTGCAAATGATATGGAATTATCCCAAATCATCTTGAAAACAGCAGGTAAAATTAGCTGGTAGAATGTACCTTGGCTAAAGAAGATTCCCTCTGCCACACTCGTGCTGTAACGTACTGCGAGGCGACCCCAGAAATTATCCCAGAGTGTGCCATCTGTATTAAAATGGTTATTCAGTTATGAACAGGGTAACATAATACTGATCAGCTAATTATACACCCTCCGAAAACCCGGCAGCTCCCTGGGCCGGGCTCAGCCAGGTATTGAAAGCACAGCGATTTGACATTTGGGCTCCCGCTCACCTTCCCAGGGAGCCGCAGCAAGTGCCTGGGTGGAGTGGGAGGAGAGGAGAGGAGTGAATCCTTTGCATTTAAAAACTAGGAGAGGAGCCCGGGCAGGTTTTGGGGCTGAGACCCCAATGCCAGTTAGGGAAGAGAAAGGGACAGAATCTTGTTTCCCTGCTGTGCAGATATGCAGCCTTCTGGGGCCAGTTGCTGCCGCTGGGAGCAAGTTGAAGCCAAGGTATTTGAGAGGAAAGCAGAGGGACCACAAGTGGCCAGGCAGAGGGACAGCGCTGCTGGGCTGGGGCCGGTGGTGGTGCTCAAGAGATGTTTGAGAGAAATGTTTGGTGTCAAGAATAGGCTTGCTGGCTTCTGAGGACTCTGAGATGCGCAAAGTTGTAGAGATGTTTTTCCTGACTGGGATGGAGGAGCGGAGCAGCAGGGGCAGGTGCCATGGTCTGACTGTCCTGTCCCTTACCCCTCATCCACCCTCACCCCAACATATCCTTCTTGCTGGCTAAAATGTTTTTGGAACCTAGCTCAGGTCTTTCTGTCTGAAAAGCCGTGGTGGGCCGGGGACAGGGGCCTCCAGGATCTCTGGAGGTGCACCCAGGAGAAGTGGGAGAAGAGGTGAGTGAGCGGCACAAGAGATGTGAACCTGGAAGTAAATGGCCTTGGCTTGACAGCACTGACAGGTGCAGACTTATGCACGGCCCTATCACCTGGGGGCCATGCATGCTTCCTGGAGATGTGGGGACACAGCCACCTGTGGGCAGGTGTTGTTAGAGAGGAAGAAGGAGGGGGCAGAGCAACTTTTGGCAGCATGAACTACTGGTCCTGGGTCCACAGTTAGGCTTCATGGCTTGCTTTGTCAAGTGTGGGTAGTCAGGCTCTTCTCGATTTTGATTCAGGCCAGCATCCTTGCGTCATTCACTTGTGGAAAAAATTCTGAGTCTTCGCAGCGTGTTGTTGAGTCAAGGCTTGGCCGGATGCATCTGGGCACCCTACCCTTAGCCTCATCCCTGTAGATGAGGGTTTAATCTGTAATGAAGTGTCATTGAATCCTACAGCCTGATAAATGCAGGAGGTCATTTATGGTAGGCACTTTAGCCTTTCTCGGTTTTGAGAAATCTTGCATGGGAAGAGCCTGACCAGCAGCTACTGACCCTGGGAGGAAGTGTGGTGCCCCCAAGGAATGGGGCTTCTGAGTTTAGAGCCTCTTTGTTGGGGAGATGCTCCTGGTGCCTGGTCCTTTGTAAAAGTTAGGAGTGAGGGTGAGCCAACCAGAAGGGTTGTCCACACATGCTCACCCACCTGAGCCAAAGCTTTTCATCTTCTCCTCCCCAAAACAGATGCTGTCACCACACTTGAAATATGCTGTTATGGTTATAAACTAAATTGCTTTTCATGGTTTAAAAATGATTTTGGCATTCTTGGATCCTGTCATGATAAAGACTGGCCACCCAATCTGTGTTCTGCTATAGCAAATTCTCATAGGGAAGTCACTGTCAAAAATCCTGGGGGCTGACCAGGTGACCTAACAAGTGGAATTTGTTGGAATCCTGAAGACTGGGATACTGATGGCTGAATGTGGAGTTACCGGCTGGTCAAGACTGTTGTAGAGTGTGGGTGTTTATAAACAGGTGACTCTCAAGTGAAATCTGGGGTGGGAAATGGCCCATAGCGGGAAGGAGTGGAGGGAGATCCATACCAATGTGTGTGTGTGTGTGTAGGGGAGTTGTGTGGTTACACAACTGAACAATTGACTAGGTGGGAAGGGTTTTCCTGATTATGTGCCGAAGTCAGCAGAACTGGCTGTGCGCCGGGCAGTGAACATCGTGTCTGAAAGACAGGCAAAGGCTCCAGGGAGCCTCCCAGGTTCCTGGGGAGCCCTGAGCGTGCTCTTGGCACTGAGTTGAGGAGCTGAGAGTAAGGCTGCCCTGGCCTATTCACTTTTGTAGTGCAGCTGGTATCTGGGTGCTCTCTGTCCCTAGATCTCCAGGGATGCAGACTCGTACATGGCCTGTGTCTTACTGCACCAGCTTTCGGTAGACTACAGCCCTGGCTCTGCCCAACTATCCCTTCAACTGTTCTCCCCACTCTACCCGTTGTCTGTCTCAGATCTTCTCAGACATTTGGCAATGGAGTGGTGGTGCTCTACTAGTTATTCACGAAGAGGCCTTTCCAGATAAGCTGGAAGCACCTGCCACTAGCCAAGGGAACGGTAAAGACATTGCCCAGGCCATGGTCTGTTCCTCCCTGTCTGAAACTCAGATTCCAGAATGTTGTATATTTGATCCTGTAGACCTGGCTTGGCAGGAAGCTGGGCTAGAGTGGCCTTGCCAGTCATACGTCCATTACCCTTACAGCTGTTTGGTGGTCAGGGCTGTTTGGCTCAGGGCAAACAGCCAGGACATGCTGATGAAAAAGACTCCTACCCACAGAGGAGTGGGAAAGATATGGATGGAGAATTTGCCTGCCTGGCTGTCCAGGGGCTCTGAAGGTGGGTGCACCTGCCAGCTTCTCTCTGAGAAGCACAGCTTGCCCCCTCCCCATGCTGCCTCAGTTCTTCTCCAGAGAGGGTCCTGGGGATTGAGGTCACCCACCAATAGAGGAGCAAGTGAACCAGGCTGATGACCAGTGCTGTTACTCCTCAAAACAAGCTGGGGTCATCCTCCTGAGCAGCCCATTTGTGCTTCCTCACTCATTTCAGACTGGCCTTCTTGGCCGGCAGTCATAGTGGTCATACTGACCATCTCCCTGTGGCTGGCTCCGTGGGTGTTCAGGCCTCAAAACGGCTCTCAGGTGAGAGCCATGGCTGGCTGCCCTGAGTTCTTATCTCAGCTGGCTGCCCTGAAGGGCGGGCAAGCTTGCTCCTAATAAGGCAGTTTTTGGAAGACTAGTGTTAGAGGAAGATGCAAAGAAGAAAGGAGAGGAGGAGACCTCAAATAAATAAATAAATTGCAATCCCAACTGTTCCAAGAACTCAATAAAACAATCACATCAAATATGAAGAGGCATAAATCTTGTGTCCACACAGGTAACCTACTCAATTGCTTTTATTATCGCTCAGGCTGCCTCCATTTATTACCGTCCACGGCCAGGGCCAAGGAGGCACGTGGAGGGTGGTCTCCCGATGCAATCCTACACCCAGAGAGGCAACAATCAGCCCATACAGCCCGGGGTTTCGGTGGGCGCCCAGGAAGGGCCCATCTGTCTGCATGAGAACCAATCAATAACTCTGTAACCAGAGCCCTTGTCACAGGGAAATGGACAACACAACAGTTCAATAGAGGGGCCACCAGGGGAATTAGCCAAGTGGGGCTGGGAGCAGGCAGGAGCAGCCCCTGGAGAAGGTAAATGAGGGTGCCTGGAGATGGGAAGATTAGGGAGGGCAGCGGATTGGTGTGCATTTTGGCGCAGGTGGAGGGGGCAGAAAGGGGACTGCTGGAGTTGGGGTGATAAGGAACAAGCATTTGGGAGGCATTTGAGGAGTGGGCTTGTTGTGGTACCCACGGTTGTATGTCTAATGATGTGTGCTTTGGACTGAAATAATACAGTCTCTAGAAAAAGAGTGGTGGAAAAATCGTCATATCCTCTTCTCCCCTTCCTTCCACCCAAAAGCCTGTCTATTGCAAAGGGGACTTCCCATGAGCCCGT